CAGCCAGCCAGTCACCAAGTGGCACCCAGGCCCTCCAGCAGGGCTGTGAGCGGTCGGAGAGGGAGAGCCCCAGGCCAGGCCCGCGGCTCGGAGCCAGGCTCTAGGGTGGAACTGGGGTTGGGAGCCAGGCCCCGCCTGAGCTCGGGATACTGGGGTGGGCCAGGCTCAGAGGGATGGGCCCTGGGGCAACCCAGCCAGACGGGGTTGAGAGAAACCGCTCCCGGGACTCTGTGAAGCCCCCCGAGCTGGGGCAGTCCAGGGGGGCGGCTGGGACCCAGTGCCAGGTTGGCTCTGGTGTTCGTGTTGGGGGGCAGGTTCAGGGCATAATGTGTGGGAGGGGTACCAGGCCCCAGCATCAGACTGGGGGAGCTCAGCATTGAGGTGGCTCTGGGGATGCTGGGGTGCGTTGGGGTTCGGGCCCCAGTGTGACTCTGGGGGAGTTGGAGGCATGGTGGCAGGGGCCCTTTGTGGGGGTTAGGAGGGGCCTAAGGGTGCTCAGTGGGTTGGGGGTCCAGCCCTTGGGTGACTTAAGGCTGAGGGGAGCTGGGGGCCCTGGGAGTTGGGTGGTCCAGCACCGGAGGTGTCTAGAAAGGGTATCTGAAGGTGCTGGGGACCTAGCATTGGAGGGTTTCTGGGAGGGGTGATTCAGGGATGGGGGGTTGAGGGTGAGCCAGGAAGACTTGGCACTGGGGGGTTGGCCCTAGGGATGTCTGAAGGCCTGGGGGTGACTCATGGGTGTGGGGGGCCTGACACTGTGTGGCTGGGGGCCTGGGGACCTGGCACTACAGGAGGGACAGGAAGGTGGGGCCCAGCACTGGGGGGTTGCTGCTAGGAGTGTCCAGAGAAGTAGGGAGGGTCTGGGGGTGACTGGCAGTGTGGGCAGGCCGGCACTATGGGAGGGGCAGGGGTGCATGTTTGGGAGGGGGTCGGGATTCCTTGGGGAGCAGAATCCCTGGCATTAGAGGGCTAGCACTTGGGGTGACTCAGGCCGGCACTGGGGGGCTGGCACTGGGGGTGACCTGGAGCGTGGGGATCGGGCACGGGGGGGGAGGCCTGGGGTGACACAGGAAGCAGAGGATCTGAAAACTGGGGGTGATTCAGGACATGGGGGTCCAGCA